TCAAAAAGAAAAGACTAGAAAAAAAATGTGCCCAAAAACATAGAAAACAGATTAAAGGTGTGATGAACTATAAAGAATAGAGGACAATTGGCAGCAAATAAAAGAGTAGAAAGAAATGGATCCAAAAATAATGAAAAGATATAGAAATGAAGACCTGACCCCCCCCCCTTTCCACGACCACCATCATCCCCAATACATGACACCACCACCACCCACACTCGCATATATACATATCTAAACAAATCTTTAATTTTGGTTTCATGGTGCCCCCCCCCCCCCCCCCCCCGACTTCGAGGTTCTGGATTCGCCCCTGAAATGGCACTCATACCACATCTTCCTATATCTAATTATTCGTTTCCAAGTTTGACTGGGGTATAGAATATGTGGTATGTGTGTCAGTCAGACAACTTTCCAAGACAGGTCTGTTTTTTTTTATTGATATATGACAAGGTATATATTTTCATAAACAAAATATACGAAAAGGGTTTGTAAAAATATGTTAATCATAAACTTCTTACGAAACAATTATCTCAAGTAAAACAATTAAAAGGTTGTCCCAGTAAAACTCTGATGTTCGTAACATTCTTATACTTTTCAAATTGACAGGCATGTGATTAAATTACTTATATACAACAAAAAATAGCATACATCTATTTGACTCTGACTTGAAATTAAAAAAAACTAGACAATTTAAAATTAGATCGTAATATTACCAGAAAGGCATTTTATAAATTCTACTAGGGTCATCATATTATAACAATAATAAATATCACGTGCCTGTTAAGTGTGTTCATACCAAACAATATACATGTACCTGTAATCAAAAACATTTTATTAGTCCCTAATATTTATAACCTCGAACAGAGACATATATACACATATATATATGTGTATATATGTCTCTGCCTCGAACCAGGAACATGATACTGTTCCCAGCTGAAACATACTTATCGATTATAACGGCATCCTTTGTTGTAGAATGAATATAGGCTATTGACAAGTGACAAAAAATAGAAATAAAACTCAGTTAAACACATTTGTCAATTTGAACCTTTAATTTGATCACTTCCATTCATAAATTTGTAGTTGTGTATTACAAAGTTACCACGTGTATTCATCTTTCCCCTTTAAGTCGAAACCTGCAACACTGATAAAAGCTTCCATAAAAAATATTTATAACCATCTAACTCATAGATCTATATTATCTGTTTCTGTCTTAATTTACAGGTAACTATATTTTCAAAAAACATCGTTTAATCGAAGGGAAATAAGATGGTTAGTTTTAACAGATTCTGTAAACATTGTTTATGTATTCATCTCCTTACAACAATGTTTTTATAACCGTCGCTCACGCATCACTGGTTCTATTATTGACAACTCAATACACATCAGTTTTGTCGGACGAACAGGTAATTCCCGTCAAACTAGATAAATCATGTGCATTAATTTAACTGGAACATTTCAATACTGTAGCTAACGTTAATTAATACACACGTTATCGTTCACGCGAGTTTAAAGGGACATCATTATCTAAGAGTATGAGAGGGATTACGGTAAACGTCCAAAAATACAGCAAACAGCTAAAGTTAAAGACGGACATCTAATTCCCTGTCAAACATCTAATTCTTTGTCAAACATCTATATTTAGAGATTACTGTTTATCTTTTAACCATAGTCCATATTTTTAGATGTATTCCCGCGTTCTAGATAATAAGCAGGCGCATTAACCAAATGGCTTTCCCAGTGAGATCATTATATAAATAAGGAGATGTGTTATGATTGCCAATGAAAAAACTAAGGATTTTCTTATCCAAGGAATAGATTACCTTAGCCGTATTTGGCACAACTTTTTGGAATTTTGGGTCCTCAATGCTCTTCAACTTTGTACTTGTTTGGCTTTGTTACTATTTTGATCTGAACGTCACTGATGAGTCTTATGTAGACGAAACACATGTCTGGCGTATTAAATTATAATCCTGGTACCTTTGATAACTAATTTGACTATAAACATAGATAAAAAAGGTACAAACTGGACATAATAGACTAGTTCATAAACAAGTGAGAACAATCGCCTTCATATAGTGCTCAGAATATGACATTCATAAAACTTATTCAATATCATTAGAGAACTCTAAATCTTAAATACTGAAAGCCACCTCTGATAAGTACACTGTACTATGCAAGATAATGATATAACTGGACTTAAAATACACACAACCTGTAATTAACTGCCTTTACAGCGCTTTCGTGCTTTGATTTCTAAAAACATGTTACTCAACATGAATGTAAAAGCATTACAGACCTATATTTAAGCCTAAGGTCAAGGTAACTAAAAAAGACTAAAATTTGAACATAGGTTTCAGGATGTATTCAATGGGATTGCAACTTATCTTGGATATGTGGCTACATAAATTAACAGAAAGAAGAGGAAGATCCCTGGCTATTGTTTTTCAAGTCGCTATGTCTTAGTTCGAGGTCCTATTTACTAACAATAGATTTGCAGAAGACCATATTACTGTCTTAAATCATGTTCATTCATCATTAAAATGTTAATTTAATGTAAAGCTTATATAAACTTATTTTTTTTACTTTCAACATAAATTCAATTATGAACACTAAAACAGGCGAGACATTTCAGTGTGTCCACTCTTGTTTTAAATAAACAATACATATAGGTAAGTAATGTTTAAATTTATTAAAAGTCATCAAAGAAAGTTTTAAATCTCCTGATGTTTTTTTGTCGAGCCTGCGACTTTTGTCGCAGAAAGCTCGACATAGGGATAGCGATCCGGCGGCTACGGCGGCGGCGGCGGCGGCTTTAGCTAACTTCTTAAAAGCTTTATATTTTAGAAGGTGGAAGGTCTGGATGCTTCATACTTTGTATATGGATGCCTCATGTTACGAAGTTTCCGTCAGTCACATGTCCAATGTCCTTGACCTCATTTTCATGGTTCAGTGACTACTTGAAAAAAAAGTTCAGATTTTTTGTAATGTTAGATTCTCTCTTATTATAAGTAATAAGATAACTATATTTGGTATGTGCGTACCTTGCAAGGTCCTCATGCCTGTCAGACAGTTTTCACTTGACCTCGACCTCATTTCATGGATCAGTGAACAAGGTTAAGTTTTGGTGGTCAAGTCCATATCTCAGATACTATAAGCAATAGGTCTAGTATATTCGGTGTATGGAAGGACTGTAAGGTGTACATGTCCAACTGGCAGGTGTCATCTGACCTTGACCTCATTTTCATGGTTCAGTGGTTATAGTTAAGTTTTTGTGTTTTGGTCTGTTTTTCTTATACTGTATGCCATAGGTCTACTATATTTGGTGTATGGAATGATTGTAAGGTGTACATGTCTAGCTGGCAGGTGTCATCTGACCTTGACCTTATTTTCATGGTTCAGTGGTCAAAGTTAAGTTTTTGAGTTTTGGTCTTTTTTTCTAATACTATGTGCAATAGTTCAACTATATTTGGTATGTGCGTACCTTGCAAGGTCCTCATGCCCGTCAGACAGTTTTCACTTGACCTCGACCTCATTTCATGGATCAATGAACAAGGTTAAGTTTTGGTGGTCAAGTCCATATCTCAGATACTATAAGCAGTAGGTCTAGTATATTTGGTGTATGGAAGGACTGTAAGGTGTACATGTCCAACTGGCAGGTGTCATCTGACCTTGACCTCATTTTCATGGTTCAGTGGTTATAGTTAAGTTTTTGTGTTTTGGTCTGTTTTTCTTATACTATATGCAATAGTTCAACTATATTTGGTGTATGGAAATATTTTATGATCTATTTGGCAGTCACGCAGGTTTTATTTGACCTTGACCTCATTTTCAAGGTTCATTGCTCAGTGTTAAGTTTTTGTGTTTTGGTCTGTTTTTCTTAAACTATAAGCAATAGGTCAACTCTATTTGTTGTATGGAAGAATTGTTAGCTGTACATGCCTGCCTAGCATGGTTCATCTGACCTTGACCTCATTTTCATGGTTCATTGGTCAATGTTTAGTTTACTTGGTTAATGTTAAGTTTATGTGACAGTTGTAATAAAGCTTTATATTTAGGACTATCAACATAATATCAATGATTAGTAAAGAAGGCGAGACATTTCAGCGTGTGCACTCTTGTTATTGAAATGTAAATTAAAAGAAACTGAACTATGTACATTTTGTTCAGAAATTAAAGAAAATATTTTTCACATTTTTTGGGAATGTAATGTAACACAAAACTTCTGGCTATCCGTTATAGATTGGATTAAAAATTATGGCATTCTCCTGCCTTTCAGTGCAAAAGAAGTCATTTTAGGTGTGTCTGAGGATTTTGTCAACAGTAAAACCGTTAATAAAATTTTGTTGTTATTCAAATATTACATATACAAAAATGTAGATGTAAGAACATATCCCCCACAAAATATGGTGGGATAGAATATTTAAAATATTGGATTAATATAGAAAAATACTCTCTATGTTTCTTAACCCCTGTACAACATGTACAAAAAGTAAAAATGGATCAGAAATGGTTTTTGTTAGAAGCAGCTTTTATTTAATTAATTAACAAAATCAATTGTAATATTTATATTTATATTTATATCTTATTATATCTTTATGAGTTGATCGATCCTACAAGTGTTACGTAGTTCTTTTTTATAATGTGTATCTAATACTGTAGTATGTAATTTCACATGTTTCATCATGAAAAATAAAATAATTACAAAAAAACCCCAATAACTTATGCAATCTTTATTGTCATCATATACAGTAATACATGTACACAATGTGAACATATGATAAAAAGCCATGATGAATACACACATAAAAGGTAGACAAAAAAATTGAGAAGTGGCCTTTCCCAACCTTAAAAAGAGCCCTGTCCTCCACTGGCACCCTGCCCCTTTCAATTTCTAGCTCGAGCACTGATTGTTGTTGTGGATTTAATTAGAATATAACTTATATAATTACAATCAATGTAATACTTTACTAAACTACTGTTATCTTGTTTTTCAGATAATGGATAAAGTTTCAGTCGATGGTGATTGTATTGTTGTTGACTGTGATGAAATAGACAGTAGTTCAGTAAAGGTTGCCAATAATGATGATGGAGACATAATTGATGTAGATAGTGGTCAGTTATTGATCTCTGATGAAGAGAGAGATTCACATGATGTTCATAGTGTAGCGGAACAGAACAAAACTGAAAAGTTACGAAAAATTAGAGAAAATTTGAACAAGCTACAGGAAGTGATTGCAAAGGAGAACGATTCTGATGATTCAGCTGTTGTTTTAGATAGTCCAAGTAAACTGCCGATCGTTGATTCAGAAGTCCAAAGCATTGAAATAAACAGACAGAGTAATGTACATGGTGATGATTCTGTAGATAATACAAACGACAGTAACATGCTAAAAAAAAAGGGTCAAATAAATACTTGTTTTAGTAGTCGTGAGAAGAATAAATGTAAACAAGGAAATGAGCAAGTTTTGGAATCTGATGGTGAAACAAAATCGGCAGAACCGGTATCCATGGAAACCACATCAAAACAATCCGATGTCATGAACATTGTGACAGTTAAAGTAGAGCCTATTGATGATGAAGGTCTCATCACCAATCAGATTGACCCTGGACAGTACCGTATAAAAGTGGAACCAGAATCAGATGTAGAAAATAACATATCTAGTGATTCTACGTCATCATCATCTTCGTCAGAGTCTGAAGATGAAGGAGAACAAACCAAGAAACCACAGAGGTTAGTACAGATGATTTTTAAGGAAATTTGTTGTTACAATGTACACAGCTGTTGTATAATAAAATGTAGTATAAATTCCCAATATTTGGTTAGGCTTTTCTCATCAATTGCGACTGATATCTCCAAGATAGACAATTACATAAATAAGAGTAAAATTAGATCTTTCAGAAGCATGTAAGATAAAGAAATTGATTCAGTATTTATTTTAAGTATTATAGAAAATCTTTTTAATGATTTTTAAAAGACTTAACTGGCTGTTGTCTGCTCTATGGTCGGGTTGTTGTCTCTTTGACACATTCCCCATTTCCATTCTCAATTTTATTCTTAAGTTTTTTCTCCTGTTCATTAAAAAAAATTATAGACTGAGAATTTATCTGATGAAGTCAAGGTACTTAGCATGTTTAGCATCACAAATATAAATTTGAATTAATTATTGTAGTAGATCCAGACAGTCAAGTACTTCATCACTGACAGATAAACAGATCAAACTGTGTAAGGAAGAAATCAGAACAAAAGGAGAATTATTTCCTGAGGTAATCTATAAAACAAGGTAGTTATTGACGGTTTGTGGGGTTTAAATGACTTTTATTCAGTAAATAGGGTATACCCATGACATGACAGTTAATTTGTTTCAGAAAATAAAAGCCATAAATTAATTAACTACTTTGATTTAATTGTTTATTTTCACTTGCTATTCGTATAAAAAAATTGTTTCAAATGCTATATGATGATATTTGTTTCTACACCAGAAATGTCAGTTGTTATGAAAATCTATCTCTAGATAGTATGGATAGAATATAAAATCCCAATTGTTAAAATTGGCATCTGGTTGAAGTGATATTTATAAATAAGAAGATGTGGTATGAGTGCCAATGAGACAACTATCCATCCAAGTCACAATGTGTGAAAAGTAAACAATTATAGGTCAAAGTACGGCCTTCAACATGGAGCCTTGGCTCACACCGAACAGCAAGCTATAAAGGGTCCCAAAATGACTAGTGTAAAACAATTCAAACAGGAAAACCAACGGTCGAATCTATATAAAAAACGAGAAACACTTATGAACCATACCAACAAATGACAACCACTGAACAACAGGCTCCTGGCTTAGGACAGGTGCATAAAAATGCAGTGGGTTTAAACGTTTTAACAAGCGCCAACCTCCACCCTAACCTGAAACAGTGGTGTAACATTACAACATAAAAAGACACACAATAAAATATCAATTGAAATGGCTTAACTCGATCAAAAAGACATAATCACAAAAACAAGTAAATATACACTGAACGAATAAGTTTGATCTATGACACAATATAAATACAATATAAATAAAAAAGATGTAATCAATGTCAAAAAGACAACTTTAACCTAGGACAAAATGGCGTTTAATAAAGTAATGTACACAGGTAAATTTAAATATAATAATTTTGTTGTTAGGAGTACAGAAACATTTTTATGCCCCTGCCGTAGTGGAGGGGGCATTAAGTTTCACCCTTGTCCGTACGTACGTCCCAAAATTGGTTTCCGTTCTCTAACTTTAGTTTGCCTCAACCAAATGTTTTGAAACTTATACACAATGCTTATTACCACAAAACACAGATCAAGTTTGAATTTTGGTGGCGTCACTTTTACCGTTCTTGAGTTATGCCCCTCTACAAATGGAAAAATTGCTGAATTTTTCGTTTCCGTTTTCTTTCTTTCTTTAGTTTGCCTCAACCAAATGTTATGAAACGCATACACAATGCGTATGACCACAAAACTCAGGTCAAGTACAAATTTGGGTAGAGTCACTTTTACAGTTCTTGAGTTATTTACAAAATATATTTGTTGTTCATAGTACATGTAGTACGAGTACAGAAGTGAAAATTTATCGTCATACTAAATACTTATCAAAGGTGGTACATATTAAAAATAGTAAGACGAGATATAACAAAAAATAAGTAAACATTGAATAAAAGAAATGCATTGCAAATTGTGTCAACACGTCAAATTAACACGAAAGTACGATTTTAGAGTACTCGCAGTTACTGAAAGCTAGTTAAAAGCCAAAAACAATTAATAATAAAAAATCATGCATCAGAGGCTAAAATCAATTAAAACACATCCCAGGCAGGGATTTGGTGTTTTAACTTGTTTAACGCCATGGACAGTCAAAAGAAGACATGACTTGTGCAATGCCAAAATAAAAGTAATGACAGGCGGTAGGATAGTTAGGATTTAACCTTATAATAAATATGTACGATCTTATATATAGATAAAACAATTTCTAAATAGAAAATATACGTGGATGTGTATATATACATCCCAAAAAACCATTCGAAAAGAGTACAAATTTAGTTATGTTTTAATTTGTTGATAACAAAATCGATGTTAGTGCCAATGAAAACAATATTCAAAGATCTTATTACAACATTAATAAGATAACCTTTGCTAACAAGTTTGTTAAAAGGTTTGATAAGTTTACACGGATCACATTGTGATTTCCGCGCTTTTAGTACAATATTACCGTAAAATTTAGGATGTGCAATATAGGAATAAATATGCTATTAAAGGGGCGCAATAAGTGCCCATAGGAATACCTACTACCTGTTGATACACTTTATTGCCGAAACTGAATATATGTTGTCCAGTTGTAAACATGTACATGTGTCTGGTTTGAATTTTTGAAACATAGATGCTCATTGTTGAAGGACATACAGTGACTTTTAGTTGCTTATGTTTATATCATTTGGTCATTGGTGAATAGTTTTCTCATTGGCAAACATACAGCATCTACTTAATTTTAACTTTTTTGTCAATGGTGTTTGTGAATGTTTCATTGCAAAGTGCTAGGTCTTCATTTAACTTATGTATTTTAGTTTTTTAGCATATATATATATATATAAGTATTTATGTTCCCTCTTGCTGGTTTTGGTTGAAATGGTTTTCATGCAATATCTAGTAAGATAATATTGTCGCTGATTACATTAGATGGTAATGGTTTGTATTGTAGTTTAAATGCTGGCTGAGAGGTTAACATTTAATTCAGGGTGTTGTCATTATGTGTATTGAAGTCTGCATTTGTTCTTCTCTATTGTCAACTAGAATACAGGAAAAGCTTGGTTGGTCCTGGCAGGATATTGTCTATTGGTGAAGGTTTCTTATGACAAGTTAATGATGTAATTGAATCCCCTCCAATTAAGAATATGTCTTTTTGATGTTTAGTTCTAATAGTATTTAACTCACCCTTTATCACGTTCATGTATTTTGTAAATATGAATAGTAGCAATTGATAATAAGAAAGTTTTTTGTGAAAATTTAATGTTCGATTTATTTGAAGGACTTACCTCCCTTAGAAGATTTAGCTATAACAGTAGATGACTCTGTACAGCTCATACATATTGGTGATGTCACCAGTGTTATAGGAGTTTTAGGTAATTATAAACACAGAGATGAAAATAACAACTCAGAAAGCATGGCTTTAAGGGATGTAAATGTACAAATGATGTATACCGATACATTTCAATTGTAAATTAAAGCATCATATAACATTTGCAGCTGTTATCTTTTAATATCCCAAGAGCACTGGGGAAGAGGTACAAAAATAACGAGATCTGTCAAATTTTTACGAGAGGATACAGAAATTATTTTATCGATTTGGCCTTATACATGTTATAATCAAATTTTCTTCAGTATAAAATGTTTTGCTATTTATTTGAATCTGGGAACAGTATATCTAACGGGAAATGAATCTGATACGCTTTTCAGCATAAAATTGATAAAATCTCGGACTCCCCGAGACTTCCCGAGATTTACGGATTTTGGTAGCGTCTGACTGAAAAACTATCAGAACTGCTCAACAAATAAACCACATAACTCTAATTGTAAATAAATACAAGTTTTATCATTTAGTAGATATATTTTGTCATATAAAATTACCAGTATATGATGTGAAGTGTTTTATAATAGTTTGGGAATTTGTAAATCATCGCGGCAATGGCCGCCATTTTTTTATTACCTGGTTTGCATTCTGCACAATTCTGTGATAAAATGCTTGCGATTTTAACAAATTTGAGGTGACAGAATACAAGTTTGATACACTAGCATCACTATAAAACTAGTTTGAATGACATTTTATTGATAATATCAGAAATTATTAGGATAATAGCGAGTCCGTTTTTAACACATATCCGTTTCTGTATCGTATCTTTATTAACTATGGCACGACGATAAAATCGACTACAATCAGGTAGTGTCAAGTCCCGTCAATATATATGTTCCTGTTTGAATATTCTGCCATTGAACACAATTTTGATTAACTCAATACCGGTTGAGAAATATTACAGTTCACAACCCTTGCCCACATAGGAATTGCATTTTGTGTTGAGCTTTTGGTGGGCAAAGAATATTTTGGGCTAGGTTGGAGCTTGGGCTTAATGATCATGATGTTGATGTTATCAGAATTTTCTGAAATTATTATATTCTTTACTATAGTTTGGTAAAATGTGAAAATTTCTCTTTAGACATATTATAAATTGTTTCATAATTTTCATGTTAGGGCCTTTTACAGCCAACCATACGGTATGGGATTTTCTCATTGTTGAAGGCCGTACAGTTGCCTATAATTGCTTACATCCACTTCATTTGAACTTTGGTGGACAGTTGTCTCATTGGTAATCATACCACATCTCCTTATTTTTACATAGGCGGATTCAGGGGGGCCCGGCCCCCCCCCCTTATGTGGGAAAAATTTGGTTGATTATATAGGGAATCACTGAAGCATGACTGGAGTGGCCCCCCTTATGAAAAGTTCTTGATCTGCCACTGTTTTATATAGATGTCACTCTCACAATACTACAGTCAATAGAATCATTAAGCCTAAGGTAATATTTAAAATTTGCTGAGATCCCGGTTTCTTACTTGGAAAAAAATTCTGATTAATAATTAAATCATACAATTTTTTATTTTCTCAAAAATTACAGGGCTAAAAAATTCCCAAATGTACCTTCTACTTTTTGTGTGCAGCTACTTTGATTTGTGGGACAGAATCTGAACATTGAAATTTGATCTGTTGATCAAGACGTTTATATCTTTTTAGATATTATCATGATTATTAAGAATTTGTAAAATTAAAGTGTCAGTGAATTTCATGTACCTGGAAATAGGTAGGTTGAACTGTTAAGTATTTTAAAGTCTATGTATATAGATGTCATTTATCATAAAAACGTTAAGTCATTTGTTTATACATTGTTTTAATGAAAGAAATGCTGTGTTATAATATAGAAATTGTAATTTCAGTTGTCGTCCAATCAAATGAAAATATGCCACCACTGAATGAAGACACAGTTCTATTTTTAGAAGGGAGAGTTTCATGTGGAAAGGTATGTTTTTAAAGGCAGTGCTTTAATGCCTTCCTAGTTGCCGGGTTAATCCTTCCTTCCGCGATATCCAACTTATCTACGTGGGGGGTCATTAGACACCAAGTAGATCCGGAAATGTTGAATTCTCTCCTCTTCTTATTGCGATATAAAATGTTTTTTGTTTCATTTCATTTACATTGGGAAATAGAGAAACGATCATTGTGTTTTGTTAGTTTTAAAAACTTTTGATATATTAGTATTTTGCATTATAAGCAGTCAACCGATTGACAAACTAGAATTATTTGAATTCCGTGTGGAAAGAGCTCGGATTAATTTCGAGTGTTATCTGCAATCTAGATGTTTATAAATCATTTCAGTAGTTGATATAATAATTAAAGGTCGACTGAACATGAATTATATTATACAATTTAAAGCGCATTTCTGTTTATGCACGTGAACCCGTCTAACGTTATTTTCGCAGTTATATAAAGTAGCAAATTATCGTTCCTGAATAGGTGGCGCCGTGGTAGCGGATCCTGTTCCTCTACTTCCGGTTTCTGCACTGTGCAACTATTTCAGTTATATTTTTAATTAACGATGATAAGTACTTGTTGTTGTGTACCTGGATGTCATTTAAGAGGAGGACATGCATTTCCAAATGACTTAAAAAGAAGGAAAAGTTGGATCAACGCCATGGCCCATACGCAGATTGGACGAGAACACAATGATATCGTTGAGTCCATCTCAATCAGCTGTTGTTTGCAAGGCACGTTTTACTGAAAAAACTACGTGCAGGAAACTATTCATGGTAAAACTCTATTTTCTTTGTGAAATATATAGTTATATATGTAATCGCCATGCGAATAAACCAAAGTCTGTTTACAACCGCAATTATCGTTTTAGAATAAAAGGGGGTGGGTAATTCAAGACGTCATAATTTTTTGAATTACGATTCAATGTGATCTGTTTGAGATTTTTTGGTGATTGCTACAATTATAATGATTTCTTACAAGAGGTATATCATACTGAGAATTATTTTAGCAGTAATTATGCTAATGTAGTAATGACAGGAATGCATAAGCTATGCCTCATAGACTTTCTTGAAAAATATCAATGACAATGTTAACAGGAACAAAACAATGACATGCTCTCATCTATATTATAGTTATTTAGGTACAAACAATGTACGTTTGTTGCATAAGTCTCTCATTGTTTGTCCTTTGGATTTACATAACATACATTGAATCAGGCAAACATAGTTTTATCCAGATTGTAATGAATAAATCTAGTTAATATTTCGCCAGGTAGTACAAAGTATACATTGCTGATGGAAGTTCATTTAATTATAAAAAAACCAATGTTTTATAACCTTTTTCAGGGCGCAAACCCACCATACAGAGACTTAAGTCTACTGCAATTCCCAGCCTATTTTCCTGGACCAAGCAAGAGACTGAATCGTCCGCAAAAAGAAAAATCAGGGCAGTTTCCTGTGAAAACAAAAGAAATAAACTTGATGAATATTGTAGTAGAAATCTAGAGGAAAGTTTTGATTGTAAAGTTGGTTTTCCTGAAGAAGTCATTCATACTGCAGAAAGGATTTATGACTGTCCACCACCAACTGCCGAGCTAATGTTGAGCTTCACAGATGGAATTACGCAAACACCATCAATGCCTATGTTTTCAGCAGAGAATTTTGAAATGAAGATACATGACACAGCCATGCATTTTTATACCGGTTTAGAGTTGTATACTAAATTTTTATTTGTTTTGACCACACTTGGTCCAGCAGCACATTGTTTGAGATACATATATTTTCAAATTGATAGGGTGTCAGTTGAAAATCAGTTTTTTTATGACTTTGATGAAATTGAGGCATCATACAACCAACTTTGAACTGTCTAGATTCTAGATTGAATCTAGTGTTAAGAATATTGTGTATACATGGATTGTTTTTATGTCTAAACAGTGGTGTGAGGCTAACACTTGGCCATCTAGTGGTTTAGTCAGGTATTTTTCACCATCCAACTTCAAATTAAAGTTTCCTACGACTTGGATTATTATTGACAGCACAGAATATCCTGTGATAAAACCTAAAGCTCCTAGAGCTCAGGCAACCTTTTCATCAAATAAAAACAGAAACACTGAAAATTCTTGAATGTTCGACACCTGGTGGTTTAGTCAACTATGTCTCTATGTCACATAGAGCGAATTATTGGACTTGGCAAAACATACAAAATTCTAATAAATCCTATGAATGGAACTGAATCAAACTTTCATCTGAAATAACATTTAGTTGTTTTATGTTGTGTAATTTTAGAACTTGTATTGTGCCAAAGGATGCATAAATAAAAGTGACGCAATGAATTTTGTTCTGATATATATATATTTACAATTACATGCACATGTAAATTGTAATGCATATAAAAATAAGGAGATGTGGTATGATATTCAGTGAGTTTATCAAACTAAAGTGCATAAGAAATGGGTTTAAGCAGTTACAGGTGTTACTGTCACCGTACAATCTCCAACAATGAGAAAAACTCGTACCCTGTAAAAAATTTCAGAGATCTTACAACTAAGTTTTGTTGTCTCACCTTGACTTTGGTGAATTTTTTATATCTGTTGATGTAAATATAAAAAAGAAGATGTGGTATGATTGCCAATGAGACAACTCTCCACACATGCACAAGAGACCAAATGACACAGAAATTAACAGCTATAGGTCACAGTACGGCCTTCAACAATGAGCAAAGCCCATACCGCACAGTCAGCTATCAAAGGTCCAGAAATGACAATGTAAAAGAATTCAAACAAGAAAACTAACGGCCTATTTTATGTACATGTAAAAAAAATGAACAAATATAACAAATATGCAACACATAAACAAACGACAACCACTGAATTACACTTTTATAGGCTCCTGACTTGGGACAGGCACATACATGTACATACAGAATGTGGCGGGCTTAAACATGTTAGCGGGATCCCAACCCTCCCCCTAACCTGGGACAGTGGTGTAACAGTACAATATAAGAAAGAACTATAAAAATCAGTTGAAAGAGGCTAAACTCATCAGATGGATAAATACAAATACAAGTGGACGTGGTCGGGTAGTTGTACATCCAAACAACAAAAAGACACTAAGTACAAATCTGAGAGTACTCGCAGTTACTGACAGCTAGTTCAAAGCCACTAACAACTGATAAAAAAATCTTGCATCTAAGACTAAATTATCAATCCGTAAGCTCCCTTTAGAATTTTATAAATTTTAGATTTTACATTTCTGAGTTATGGGGTTTTATTCATTAAAAAAGGGGGGATTTTCCAGTTTTTGGACAACAACTCAAAAATGCTTTAAGCAGTTCACATGAAACTTTGGTGAATTATTTATAGCTATTGATGTAATCTCCCTATTGATTTTCATAAATTTCAAATATGACATTGAGAAGAAATTGAACTTTATTTGTTTATAGTCTGGCAACAGATTTATTAAGTATTGCACAACAGCACAGTGTATTGCACAACAGCAAGAAATCTTTAATTGAATATAAATTCAATTCATATAACCGATTTCAAGTTCATTGACTACATTTATTCAGAAACTATAATATGTCAAATATTTAATTACATTCCAAATTCAGACCTGTATCAAGCTTGAATATTGTGTCCATTTTTGCCCCAGCTGTTCAGGGTAGTACCTCTGCGGGTGTATCCAGCTGCGCTCAGCGAATCAGTTTATTTCTTAATTAAGAACTTTTTATACGACCGCAAAAAAATTTTTGTGGTCGTATATTGGTATGACGTTGGCGTCGTCGTCGTCCGGCGTCGTCGTCCGAAGACACATTAGTTTTCGCACTCTAACTTTAGTTTAAGTGAATGGATCTCAATGAAATTTTAAAATAAGGTTCAATACCACAAAAGGAAAGTGGGGATTGATTTTGGGGGTTATGGTACCAACAGTTAAGGAATTAGGGGCCAAAAATAAGCATTTATGTAACTTCCAGACATAACTTGTGTGTAAGTGTATGGATCTCTCTGACATTGTACCACAAGGTTCCATATCACAAAGGGAATGCTGGGATTGATTTTTGGGGGTAATTGCCTCCAAATTTTAGGAAAAAGGGGCAAAAAACAAGCATTTTTCTAGTTTCATGACAATAACTTGTGTGCAAGTCTATGGATCTCTCTGACATTGTATCACAAGGTTTCATATCACAAAGGGAATGCTGGGATTGAATTTAGGGGTAATTGCCTCCAAATTTTAGGAATTAGGGGCCAAAAAGGGGCAAAAAACAAGCATTTTTCTAGTTTCATGGCAATAACTTGTGTGTAAGTGTATGGATCTTTATGAAATTGTACTACAAGGTTCCATATCATAAAGGGAAAGCTGGAATTGAGTTTGGGGGTAATTGCCCAAAAAGTTTAGGAATAAGGAGCCAAAAATAAGCATTTTTCTAGTTTCCAGACAATAACTTGTGTTCAAGTGTATGGATCTCTCTGAAATTGTACTGCAAGGTACCATACCACAAAGGGAATGCTGGGATTGATTTTTGGGGTAATTGCCTCCAAATTTTAGGAATTAGGGGCCAAAAAGGGGAAAAAAACAAGCATTTTTCTAGTTTCATGACAATAACTTGTGTGTAAGTCTATGGATCTCTCTGACATTGTATCACATGGTTCCATATCACAAAGGGAATGCTGGGATTGATTTTGGTGGTAATTGCCTCCAAATTTTAGGAATAAGGGGCAAAAAACAAGCATTTTTCTAGTTTCATGGCAATAACTTGTGTGTAAGTGTATGGATCTTTATGAAATTGTACTACAAGGTTTCATATCACAAAGGGAAAGCTGGGTTTGAGTTTGGGGGTAATTGCCCTAAACGTTTAGGAATTTGGGACCCAAAAGGGGCCAAAAAACAAGCATTTTTATACGCCCGTTTACGGGACGTATTATGGTATACCGTTGTCCGTCTGTCCGTCCGTCCGTCCGTCCGTCTGTCCGTCCGTCTGTCCGTCGTCAACATGTCGGACATTAACTCAAGAATGCTTTAACCAATTTGCATAAAACTTTGGTGAATTGTTTATATCTATTGACGTGAGCTCCCTTTCGTTTTTTATAAAATTTAGATTTTACGTTTCCGAGTTATGGGGTTTTATTCATTAAAAAAAGGGGGATTTTCCAGTTTTCGGACAATAAGTCAAGAATGCTTTCACCAACTTGCAAGAAATTGTGGTGAATTGTTTATATCTATTAACATGAGCTCTCTTTTGATTTTTATAAATTTTAGATTTTACGTTTCCGAGTTACAGGGTTTTATCCATAAAAAAAGGGGGGATTTTTCAGTTTTCGGACAAAAACTCAAAAATGCTTTCAGCAATTCTTACGAAACTTTGGTGAATTGTTTGTATGTATTGATGTAAACTCCCTTTAGAATTTTATAAATTTTACATTTAACATTTCTGAGTTATGGGGTTTTATTCATTAAAAAAAGGGTGATTTTCCAGTTTTCAGACAATAACTCAAAAATGCTGTCACCAATTCTTATGAAACTTTGGTGAATTGTTTATATCTATTGATGTAAGCTCCCTTTTTATTTTCATAAATTTCTAATATGGCATTGAGAATTAATTGAACTTTATTTGTTTATAGTCTTGACAACAGATTTACTAAGTGTTGCACAACAGCAAGAAATTTTTAATTGAATATAAATTCAATTCATATAACCAATTTAAGTTCTTTGAATACATTTATTCAGAAACCTATAATATGTCAAATATTTAATTACAATCCAAATTCAGACCTGAATCAAGCTTGAATATTGTGTCCATTTCTGCCCCAACTGTTCAGGGTCGGACCTCTGTGGGCGTATCTAGCTGCGCTCAGCGAAGCAGTTTATTCTAGTTTCCAGACAATAACATGTGTTCAAGTGTATGGATCTCTCTGAAATTGTACTGCAAGGTACCATACCACAAAGGGAAGGCTGGGTTTGAGTTTTGGGGTGATGAATCATAAGGGGGTTCAAAAAATTTGGGGGGGGATTCTTTTTCCTTTTTTTTCTTTAAAATTTTCCATTTTAAATTGGTTATTTCTGATTTATATATAAAAGCAAATAATAATGATATGGTTTGAATAGGTAAATTAAATTTTTTTAAGTATCTTAGACCACTTTCATTCTGTATCAGAAACCTATTCTGTGTCAAATATTTAATTACAATCCAAATTCAGTGCTGAATCAAGCTTGAATGTTGTGTTCATACTTGCCCCAACTGTTCAGGGTTCGACCTCTGCGGTCGTATCAAGCTGCACCCCAGCGGAGCATTTTATTTCATTCATAAATTACTTTATGCTTGGAAATATAATTTTGCTTGGAGTTGACATGTTGCAATGTACATTTACTCTACATAGTTCTATGGTACCAAATCAAAAGTTTATATAAAGAAAGAAGTCAAAGGTTTCCCATCATAGTTTAGTTTTTTAGCTCACCTGACCTGAAAGGTCAAGTGAGCTTTTCTCATCACTTTGCGTCCGTCGTCCGTCGTCCTGCGTCCGTCGTCCGTCGTCCGTAAACTTTTACAAAAATCTTCTCCTCTGAAACTACTGGGCCAAATTTAACCAAACTTGGCCACAATCATCATTGGGGTATCTAGTTTTAAAAATGTGTGGCGTGACCTGGTCAACCAACCAAGATGGCCGCCACGGCTAAAAATAGAACATAGGGGTAAAATGCAGTTTTTAGCTTATAACTCAAAAACCAAAGCATTAAGAGCAAATCTGACATGGGGTAAAATTGTTCATCAGGTCAAGATCTATCTGCCCTGAAATTTTCAGATGAATCGGACAACCCGTTATTGGGTTGCTGCCCCTGAATTGGTAATTTTAAGGAAATTTTGCTGTTTTTGGTTATTATCTTGAATATTATTATAGATAGAGATAAACTGTAAACAGCAATAATGTTCAGCAAAGTAAGATTTACAAATGAGTCAATATAACCGAAATGGTCAGTTGACCCCTTTAGGAGTAATTGCCCTTTATAGTCAATTTTTAACCATTTTTCGTAAATCTTAGTTATCTTTTACAAAAATCTTCTCCTCTGAAACAACTGGGCCAAACTAAACCAAACTTGGCCACAATCATCATTGGGGTATCTAGTTTAAAAAATGTGTGGCGTGACCCGGCCAACCAACCAAGATGGCGGCCACAGCTAAAAATAAAACATAGGGGTAAAATGCAGTTTTTGGCTTATAACTCAAAAACCAAAGCATTTAGAGCAAATCTGACATGAAGTAAAATTGTTTATCAGGTCAAGATCTATCTGCCCTAAAATTTTCAGATGAATCGAACAACCTGTTGTTGGGTTGCTGCCCCTGAATTGGTAATTTTAAGGAAATTTTGCTGTTTTTGGTTATTATCTTGAATATTATTATAGATAGAGATAAACTGTTAACAGCAATAATGTTCAGCAAAGTAAGATTAACAAATAAGTCAACGTGACTGAAATGGTCAGTTGACCCCTTTAGGAGTTATTGCCCTTTATAGTCAATTTTTAACAATTTTTCGTAAATCTTAGTAATCTTTTACAAAAATCTTCTCCTCTGAAACTACGTGGCCAAATTAAACCAAACTTGGCCACAATCATCATTTGGTTATCTAGTTTTAAAAATGTGTGGCGTGACCTGGTCAACCAACCAAGATGGCCGCCACGGCTAAAAATAGAACATAGGGAAAATATTCAGTTTTTGGCTTTTAACTCAAAAACCAAAGCATTTAAAGCAAATCTGACATGAAGTAAAATTGTTTATCAGGTCAAGATCTATCTGCCCTGAAATTTTCAGATGAATCGGACAACCCGTTGTTGGGTTGCTGCCCCTGAATTGGTAATTTTAAGGTAATTTTGCTGTTTTTGGTTATTATCTTGAATATTATTATAGATAGAGATAAACTGTAAAAAACAATAAATGTCGGCAAAGTAAGATCTACAAATAAGTCAACATGACAGAAATTGTCAGTTGACCCCTTTAGGAGTTATTGCCCTTTATAGTCAATTTTTAACCATTTTTTCGTAAATCTTAGTAATCTTTTACAAAAATCTTCTCCTCTGAAACTACTGGGCCAAGTTAATTATAGATAGAGATAATTGTAAGCAGGAAAAATGTTCAGTAAATTAAGATGTACAAACACATCACCATCACCAAAACACAATTTTGTCATGAATCCATCTGCGTCCTTTATTTAATATTCACATAGACCAAGGTGAGCGACACAGGCTCTTTAGAGCCTCTAGTTTGTACCTGAGGTCGTTGAATATAGATCATTATATAAATAAGGAGATGTGTTATGATTGCCAATGAAAAAACTAAGGATTTTCTTATCCAAGGAATAGATTACCTTAGCCATATTTGGCACAACTTTTTGGAATTTTGGGTCCTCAATGCTCGTCAACTTTGTACTTGTTTGGCTTTATTACTATTTTGATCTGAACGTCACTGATGAGTCTTATGTAGACGAAACACACATCTGGCGTATTAAATTATAATCCTGGTACCTTTGATAACTAATTTGACTATAAACATAGATAAAAAAGGTACAAACTGGACATAATGCACTAGTTCATAAACAAGTGAGAACAATCGCCTTCATATAGTGCTCAGAATATGACATTCATAAAACTTATTCAATATCATTAGAGAACTCTAAATCTTAAATACTGAAAGCCACCTCTGATAAGTACACTGTACTATGCAAGATAATGATATAACTGGACTTAAAATACACACAACCTGTAATTAACTGCCTTTACAGCGCTTTCGTGCTTTGATTAAAAGAAATTGCCTTTGCCACTCTGAAAGAACCAGGGAATATATCGTTCACATATTCTTCCTTCCTTCATTCGATCCTCCCCGAATCCAATAGTTGTCCAGACTTTTTCAGTAATGTCTGTAGATATTGAGATGATTTTTGTTTCATTAATTAAATGTATAATGGGGAGTTACAGATCAAGTTTGTTTATTGTTTTGAATAAGTTACTTTTCATAGGAATATGGCTATTGGAATTAGCGTGAAAAAAGGCAGAAAGAAAAAATAAGCTTCCTAAGGGGAGATATTTCAGATAGTATTTATTAATATAAAAATGTACAGTTAATTTAATGTTATATAGGAAGAAAATAAGTTAGGTAACCCCATATCTTCTATTTAATTTCTGAAAGCATTTCATATACTTGTCCTTTAGTCTTTGGTGGATAGCTTTCTATTGACAATCAAATCACATTTCTTTATTATTTTTAAGAGCTATCTTCTCATATTTAATTTATAAACTTTATCCTTTACATTTTCCTTCTTGTCACATAAAAGTGCTTTCTTGTGAACAAGTTTGACAAAATATGAGAATTTTGATCAGCCTATGGTGTTTAAACCATCATGGTGACCTCTGCTTCTTATATTTGTGAAAATACCATGATATAAACACATTTTGACAAAGTATGAACATATTTGTTGTTTATCCTCCCATATTACCTAAAGTGCTTTCCCAGTAATGATTTTTATACGACAGCAAAAAATTTTTGCGGTCGTATATTGGTATGACGTTGGCGTCGTCGTCGTCTGAAGACACATTGGTTTTCACACAATAACTTAAGTATAAGTGAATGGATCTCTATGAAATTCTACCATAAGGTTCAATACCACAAAAGGAAGGTTGGGATTGATTTTAGGGGTTATGGTACCAACAGTTAAGGAATTAGGGGCCAAAAATAAGCATTTTTGTAACTTCCAGACAATAACTTGTGTGTTAGTGTATGGATCTCTCTGACATTGTACCACAAGGTTCCATATCCCAAAGGGAATGCTGTGATTGATTTTGGGGGTAATTGCCTCAAAATTTTAGGAATTAGGGGCCAAAAAAGGGGCAAAAAACAAGCATTTTTCTAGTTTTATGACAATAACTTGTGTGTAAGTGTATGGATCTTTCTGAAATTGTATTACAAGGTTCCATATCACAAAGGGAAAGCTGGAATTGAGTTTGGGGGTAATTGCCCAAAACGTTTAGGAATAAGGGCCAAAAAGGGGCCAAAAATAAGCATTTTTCTAGTTTCCAGACAATAACTTGTGTTCAAGTGTATGGATCTCTCTGAAATTGTACTGCAAGGTACCATACCACAAAGGGAAGGCTGGGATTGATTTTGGGGGTAATTCCCTCAAAATTTTAGGAATAAGGGGCCAAAAAACAAGCATTGTTCTAGTTTCAGGACAATAACTTGTGTGTAAGTGTATGGATCTTTCTGTAATTGTACTACAAGGTTCCATATCACAAAGGGAAAGTTGGAATTGAGTTTGGGGGTAATTGCCCTAAACGTTTAGGAATTTGGGGCCAAAAAGGGGTAAAAAAACAAGCATTTTTCTAGTTTCTACACAATAACTTGTGTACAAGTGTATGGATCTCTCTGAAATTGTACTGCAAGGTGCCATTCCACAAAGGGAAGGCTGGGATTGAGTTTGGGGGTGATGAATCATAAGGGGGTTCAAAAAATTAGGGGGGGGGGGATTTTTTAAAATTTTTTTCCTTTTTTTTTTCTTTAAAATTTTCCATTTTAAGTTGGTTATTCCTGATTTATATATAGATTTCATCAAAAATTGAATTCTTTGGATTCTTTGATATGCTGAATCTAACCATGTATTTAGATTTTGGATATTGGACCATAATAGGTAAATTAAAAATTTGTAAGTTCTTAGACCACATTCATTCTGTGTCAGAAACCTTTGCTGTGTCAAATATTTAATCACAATCCAAATTCAGAGCTGTATCAAGCTTGAATGTTGTGTCCATACTTGCCCCAACTGTTCAGGGTTCAACCTCTGCAGTCGTATCAAGCTGCGCCCAGCGGAGCATTTTATTTCATTGAGTGTTTGGTCTCCTTGGATACCACAACTTTTGGCTTTGAATATTCCTGGTAAAATTTTAAACAGAACTGCATATGGACTTGCAAAAAAAAAGATACATTTTACTTTGATAAATTAAACCTTCTGCTTTGCAAGCAGTGGATGGTCCATCAGTAGAGGAAAGTGTTAGTTCTTTTTCGATGTCCTTGACTGTTAGATCCTGACTGGTTTACATTGTCTTTATTATTTCTATAAGTTCAATTGTTACCAGTATCAAGGAAACTGTCAGCTAATCAAAAAGGGCTAAGTAAAAATAATTGTGCATGAAATAAATTGTTTAGATTGATAATTAAGCCGGTATCAGGAATATAACAATTGTTTTCCATTTGTTTGATGTGTTTGAGCTTTTGGTCTTGCCATTTGATAAGGGACTTTCCATTTTGAATTTTCCTTGGAGTTCGTTGTTTTTGTTATTTTACTTTTTATTAGATATATATAAAAACATGAGAATTCTATTGGAATTTCTATGAGGAATCATAAACGCATACATGTTCAATACGGCTTGGAGAGAAAACTGAAGATTTGACACAAGGGAGATAACTGAGGTGTTACCATATTTACACTAGAAAACTCGACGTATGTATGGGGAAATACACGGAAATTGCAAATAGTTAAGGAGGCAGTTAAGTGTAAATAGTTCATGAATCCTAAGTTATATTATATCTCATAAACTTATTTTATATTTTAAAAATGAATAATCTAATTATTTTTGTCAGATATTTGAAGTTTTTGGACCAGTAGCCTTACCATGGTATTCTGTAAGATTCAACTCACTTGAAGATATCATCAACAAAGAGGTTTCCATAGGAACAAAGATGTACTGTGCTCCTAAAGTGGATCAGTATACAAATTATGTATTTGTAGAACATTTGAAACAGTAAGATATCAAACCGATATTATGTGATATATGTTTTGAAATTTGCATATTATGGGATGTAGGGAAAAAATAATGATTTATTATTAATTTAGAACTCAGATGAAAGGTTTAACATAAACATATCTTTTTGTATTAACACAGTTAGATATCCACTTGGTGTTAATGATGGTAGTGTTGTGCAAAGATTTAATCATTGCTAAAAGAGGTCAATTATTAAAGTATAGAAATCCTTAGGCTGTTTTACAATTATATGCAGATAGCCATATTAAACAAACAAGTACTCCAGGACATTCACTAGAGTTGTTGTTTCATTTTGTACATACTTCACCGCACCATTTTTGCAAATTGATAAATTTCCAGTTAAAACACGGTACTTTTTTATATTTTGATATTTTACACTTTAACATAACATTTACCTTTTAATTACCATATACATGATATATGTTTATTTGCAAGTATTTCATGACGTACACCAGGTTCATATTCTTTATTTCTTTGGAAACCAAGTAACATGATATATGGAAAATGTACCGTATATAGAATACATGATTAATTTTGTTTATTTCATAAGGTACAGTCTAAAAATATGTGTTTAACAGTATTTCTGGATAGTGATCCTTTACATACATGTATAATTAATTTCCTGACATCTTCCTTCAGACATAATAGTCATTTTCCAGTATCTGTGTATTTCCTGACATCTTCCTTCAGACATAATAGTCATTTTCCAGTATCTGTGTATTTCCTGACATCTTCCTTCAGACATAATAGTCATTTTCCAGTATCTGTGTATTGTCTGGCATCTTTCTTCAGACATCATAGTCATTTTCCAGTATCTGTGTATTGTCTGGCATCTTTCTTCAGACATCATAGTCATTTTCCAGTATCTGTGTATTGTCTGGCATCTTTCTTCAGACATAATAGTCATTTTCCAGTATCTGTGTATTGTCTGGCATCTTTCTTCAGACATAATAGTCATTTTCCAGTATCTGTGTATTGTCTGGCATCTTCCTTCAGACATAATAGTCATTTTCCAGTATCTGTGTATTGTCTGGCATCTTCCTTCAGACATAATAGTCATTTTCCAGTATCTGTGTATTGTCTGGCATCTTTCTTCAGACATAATAGTCATTTTCCAGTATCTGTGTATTGTCTGGCATCTTCCTTCAGACATAATAGTCATTTTCCAGTATCTGTGTATTGTCTGGCATCTTTCTTCAGACATAATAGTCATTTTCCAGTATCTGTGTATTTCCTGACATCTTCCTTCAGACATATAGTCATTTTCCAGTATCTGTGTATTTCCTGACATCTTCCTTCAGACATATAGTCATTTTCCAGTATCTGTGTATTTCCTGACATCTTCCTTCAGACATATAGTCATTTTCCAGTATCTGTGTATTTCCTGACATCTTCCTTCAGACATATAGTCATTTTCCAGTATCTGTGTATTTCCTGACATCTTCCTTCAGACATATAGTCATTTTCCAGTATCTGTGTATTGCCTTGCATCTTTCTTCAGGCATATATCATATTAATTTCCAAGTATCTGTATATTATATGACATCTTTCCTGTGATACTTGACTGTTTCTGATTATTTTATTATGTTTAAATCCCATATGCCCTGTACAATGAATCAGAATTATACAACACAATATTTTTTTTTCAGAATAAAAGGTTCAGATGCATCATGGGAAGACAACAATGAACCACCTGCTAAGGTAATACCAGGATGTAAAATACTGCATGTATAAAAATACATTGTTAGATAAAAGGATTGTTGATACATTGAAATGAGTAACAATTGTATCTTTCAGAAATATTTTTATGCCCCTGCTGACACAGGAGGTGTCATTTAGTTCTACCCTTGTTCTCCGTATTTTTGTATGAACGTCCCGAAATGGTTTCCATTCTCTAACTTTAGTTTGCCTCAACCAAATGTTATGAAACACAGATCAAGTTCAAATTTGGGTGGCGTCACTTTTACCTTTCTCGAGTTATGCCCCTTTATAACGTTATATGCAAGCGAGGGCATCATTTGTGTCCTATTGACACATTCTCTATTTATGTGTTCTTAGTTTTTATAACAAGAGATTCCAGAATGTTTGAACGCTGCACAGTTACAGTGGCATAAATTTGTATAATAGGAAGTGGATGCACCCTCATTATAAAATTTTGAAAATTCGTACAAGAAAATGATCAGCCTGATTTAATGAACTGCTTATTTTTCAGTTTGTAGAGTACTCGGATGATGAGGAAGAAAAACGAGCTAAAGCCAAACATAGAAATAAAAAACAACAAGAAAATGCTGATGGGGATCAACTTCCTGGTGCTAAAAATAGCAGGAAGAAAAAGTTTAGACAGTAAGTACAATAAAGTCAAACAGTATATAACGCATCCATACATGTAATATATATATATATAGTAGTAGAACTTTTGTATCCATGGCTTGATAAATTTGGCTTAATTAAGGATATTAATAGATGGCCTTTTGATACTATTGCTCCTGGTTTTGAACATAAATCTTGTCATAAAGAACAACAATAGGCAGGTCTCTTTGGTATGACAGAATCTAATCATCCCTAAAAACAGTTACGAAGCCAAGTTAGCACATTAAAATATTCATTATTACCTTAACACATTCACAGATCATATATCATGAACAGTGGTTCTGATTGTTATCTCTTAATTACAATCATCTGAACCTCAACAAAAACTTTTTATCTGTTAGCCTGAATGCTCTTTGTATATTTAAGACCCTATTTACAGATGCCCAAAACCAAAACCATATTGTTGAAAAAAAAAGATAAGCTGTATTGTTATTGTTTCAAACTGCTTAATTTCTTGTTCCCTCTTATTTCATTTTGTCTAACTTGTTAAACTTTGGCACATTCTTAATTAGCTGTCAACAATAAATCAATCATTCATAAAGGATTTTCATGGTTTGTCAATTCATTGATATCAAATAGTGTAAAGTGTCAGAAGTTTTAATGCATATGTCGTTCTTATCAAGCATGGGTTTGTTAATTATGTTGAATGCAGGGCTTCCAAAATTATTTTTAGCCAGCAGGACATTTTATATATTATCCCGATTTTAATCCCTTAAGACTAAATAAACAAAAGGCAATTATGGTATTCAGTTGCTGAGTTAGCCATCCCAATGATTGACATTAAAAAAAAAACGATATTAAACTTTCTTTGATTCAAATTCGAAGTTCTCCTGAACAGGTAAATTTCAGCTGTTTGACAACTAATTAGCCTTGATTAAAATGAGAAGGTATTAAAGTAGGGGTTGTTTTGATAGTACTTAATGATCATGTCACTTTTATGACTGGAAATGTGTGGCTGTTAAAGGCAAAAGGTTGGGTCAAAAAGATCGCAAATTATGTTAAAATGACCATCTCTTAAGAAAGCCTTGAAAACTAAAAAGTAGATGACCGTTTCATGCTTTGCCCAGCCGGACTTTTACCAGACATTATACAAATGTCCGGAATATATGACCGTTTTGGAAGCCTTGGTTGAATGAGTACATGTATTGTTATTTCTATCTTTAGGTCAAATGAAGTTAACAGTGAACAACAGAAAACAGTAAACAGTAAGTATTAACCTAGGGTACATATATAAATGTTTATACAATGTGTCTTGTAGATTTGTAAGAGGAGGTAATCCATGATAAACAATCAACGTCATACCTGTTGCCAGATTTTAGCAGCTTGTATCGAAGTTTTCATATCTCCTGTCATTCTTATTTATTGTTAAAGTTAACAGAAACCAGTTTTCATCAGTTTTGAGCACAAAAGTTAATACTTAATGGCTGGTTTTGGGAAATTTATTTTACTTCAAATTTGACCACGGAACTGCCACCTGGAATAATCCCTCAGTGTGTTCGCTACAGTTCAGCCAGTTTTCAAATAATCAAACAGGCCCATATGATATAGACACAAGGCTGACAGCAATTGTGTTGAAACGCAAAGCTTATCTTTTTATTAATTTCACCTTCACCTTTGTTTATAAAAACAAGAAGATGTGGTATGATTGCCAATGAGACAACACTCCACCAGAGACCAAATGACATAGAAGTTAACAACTATAGGCCACTGTACGGCTTTCAACAATGAACAAAACCCATACCGTATAGTCAGCTATAAAAGGCATCAACATGAAAAATGTAAAACAATTCAAACTAGAAAACTATCGGCCTAATTTATGTACAAAACAAATATGATATACAGCAACAAACGACAACCACTGAATTTTGTTTGTCTACTGATCATGTAATAAACTGCCTTTTGCAATTCAGTGTCTATTAATCTCATCATTACCTATTTGCAGTAAATCTACATAACCAATTATTATTATTCTATTTCCTTTTTCCTTACGGTCCACTTTTGAAGAATTCATAAAGCTTGTCTTAATTTGCATATGAATAAAAGGATATGTCAGGTAAATGTCAAGAACACAGCAACTCAACTATAAAAAAGATCATCTAGTGGTACAATTGTCTTCAGCAGCAGATTTAATCTATAAATAGTCCTTTTTGGTAAACTGAATCATAATTTTGATGTATTTATTATGTTGGTTTTTATGAGAGAATAATAAATCAATTAAGTTCTTATTTCGCCAGAACTTTACAAAAAGGAAAGTATAAATGAAGCTCATATACCTGTATACGGGGAAAGAAAAACTAAAAATGTCTTTTTTTCAAATTTTTAGGTAATCTTAATCCTGGTTCTCAAAGACATCAAGGTCCAAGAAAATTTGCTCCATTTGGCGGACAGCATAATAAATATCAACCAAGAGGTCCACCAAACCATAACAACCCAAGGTTTCCTCACCAACCACCACATCAAGGAAACAGGCCTAGATTCAATACAAGTAATGGACCAAACAATGTAAATCAAGGAGGACAAACTTTCAGTGGAAACTCTTTTAATCAGCCTCCTGATAGTAATACCAATAATGTTCAGCCACCACAGGAAAACAAGTCTGGACAATTGATGTTCAATCCAGATTTTAGCAAACCACCTCCAAATTTCAGATTTGGATCTAACCAATGGAATAATACCAATGCTCTTCAAAAGGCCAGTAACTGCCAACCATTTGGAGCCTCAAAGAGTAATTTTACATTCAACCAGAACTCTAATACAAATGCATCTGAGCAAGCATGGCAAGGACACAATCACACTAAACAAAATGATGCACCTTTTCAAGCAGATAATGGTAATTGGCAACCACTTGCCACCAATAATCAATCTACTGATAATTGGCAACAATCAAGTGATAAATGGCAGCAACCTGTCACAAATTATCAATTTGGTGGTAATTGGCAAGCACCTGCTGGTTGTAGTGATTCAGGTGATTCAAACCAGCATGCACAGTCTAGATCTGGCAGTTACAACAGAAACTGGCAAGGGCCTGCAAGGTCTGCAGGTTCTGACAATACAAGTTGGCAGGCACCTGTAAGATCTGCAGGTTCTGACAATACAAGTTGGCAGGAACAGGCAAGGTTTTCAGCTTCTGACAATACAAACTGGCAAGCACCTGCAAGGTCTTCAAGTTCTGACAATACAAGTTGGCAGGTACCTGCAAGGTCTTCAGGTTCTGACAATACAAACTGGCAAGCACCTGCAAGGTCTTCAAGTTCTGACAATACAAGTTGGCAAGCACCTGCATGGTCTTCAAGTTCTGACAATACAAGTTGGCAGGCACCAGCAAGGTCTTCAGGTTCTGACAATACAAGTTGGCAGGCACCAGCAAGCTCTTCAAATTCTGACAATACAAGTTGGCAAGCACCTGCTCCAAGAAATAATTCTAATTACTGTGTTCAAAATGATCAAAATGCAGGTTCTTATATTCCTTATAAGAATAGTAATTATTCACAAGGACCTGCTCCAGCTTCTTACGATAACAGTCAAACATTGATCAATAGAAATTCAGAGAATATTATGTGTAATAATAGTGTAAGCCAGGGACAGACTGGACAGAATATGAATCCCAGCAGATCTGTCGTTGACAATCGTTACATACAAAATATAGAATACAACAAAGTCGGACAACCAACACCCTTTCAAAATAACAGACCACGTTTTGGTGGAGGACCACAGTTTAACAACCAACCTTATTGATGTCAGATGAAATCTTGCAGTACATTGTGAATAAAACTTGTATACTAATTCTCTGTTGCTTAGTTAGATAATAAGTATGTACACATATTTTGCTGCTAACGTGCACTCAATGACTCATTGGCAGATCTAGTGGAAGTCACCCAATGACTCATTCACTTCAACAATAGATTAAAATCAAAAGCTCAAACACATCTAACGAATGGAAAACAAGTGTCATATTCCTGACTTGGTACAGGCATTCCCTATGTAGAAAATGGTGGATAAACCTGGTTTTATAGCTAGCTAAACCTCTCACTTGTATGACAGTCGCATAGAATTCCATTATATTAACAACAATGTGTGAGCAAAACAAACAGACACAATAGGGAAAAACGACAAAAATCGGGGTACAGCAGTCAACATTGTAATATAATCTTAATCACTATAAAAACAAATAACTGTTTCAACAAAGAAACACAAAATGGCATATAGACAAGTACATATGCAAAACTGAAAGATAAGAACTCAATATTGGCCATAGCATAATAACACAATGGCGGGATGTATAAGTACCAATCCACCTCATAGGTATATAATCAAAAATGAATAAACAGTAAAGGTTAAAAATATACAAGGACAAAAAAGGGGGACTTTTACACGTAATTAAACAATGTCAGTACCTAGAATCTATACTTCAAGACCATCATGTATTATTTGTGAAGATGATACAGAATATTTATCAACAAGGTCTTGGTATCTTCCAATGAACTTTTTTTAAAAACAGAACGAGACGTTCTTTGACATAACCTTGGCTCATCAACTTTTTGCTCAAACACTGGTGACGTTTTATAAAGTCTGAGTAGCAGCTGCAAGCTCTTGAATACCGAATGAGTTGGGAAATGTATATCCCATATGCAGGTGAAGTTGGTATATTGCTGCTAAGGTGGGTAAAATTTATAATTTCAAAATTAAAATCATCTCGCTTGTCATAGATCATTTTGTAGATTCTGGTACATGTATTGAGATGACCGCTTATGTCAAAATCGAGGTAGTCTAAAAATGAGGCTGAGGAAGCCCTGTCTGTTTATCTTTAATTTCTAGTTCTGGAGGATATTTTAATGGAACCCAATCAGAAAAGTTTGGATTGTTAATGGAAAGAACATCATCAATATATCTGAATATGAAAATAAATGATCGGGCTTCTATGATTTTCTGGTTTTCGACAAGTGTCTGAAGGAACTCCGACTCGTATGAAAATAAGAAGAGGTCGGCAAGGAGAGGCGCAAAGTTTGTTCCCATAGGAATGCTGACAACTTGCTGAAAAAGTCTTCCTCCAAATTCAACAAATATGTTGTCAATGAGAAACTCCAGCATACTGATCACTTGTTCGTATCGTTTGTTTTAGAGTGCATTCTAGATGCCAATAAACATAATTTATGTATAACTGGTGAACTATTAAGTCAGGAATTTCATTACCACAAATTAACTAAAACCTTCACCAAACTCATTCATAGATACAAAGATTTGGTTAGGTAGTTTTGCTGTACTTGTAGAATTCTTATTAAATACAGGTTATTACATCCTAATTTTTACGGTGATCTTAAAATAACCATTTACTGAAAGCTAGTTTTAAATCAATTACAACCAATAAATAAACAAATGAGCACACACTGAAATGTCTTGCCTGCTTTTCAAGTATCGTATAAACTAACATTATCAACGATACATGACAATGAAATTTAGGTAAGATAAACCCTGCCAGACAGACATGTACACCTTATAATCATTCTATATGCCAACTATAGTTGACCTATTGCTTATAGTATCCAATAAAGAAACCAACACATGAAACTTAACATTGACCAATGAACCATGAAAATAAGGTCAAGGTCAGATGAAACATGCCAGACAGACATGTACACTCTAGAATCATTCCATGCACAAAATATAGTTGACCTAGCTATTGCTCATAGTATCTTAAGAAACAGGAAAACTTAACATTGACCAATGAACCAAGAAAAACAAGTCAAGGTCAAATTAAACCTGCCAGACAAACATTTACACATTACAATCATTCTATACACCAAATATAGTTGACCTATTGCTTATAGTATCCAAGAAAGAGGATCAAACTGCTGAATTAAAACATTGACCAATGAACCATAAAAATGAGGTCAAGGACAGATGATTCCTGCCAGACCGACATATATACCTTACAATCATTCCGTACATCAAATACAGCTGGTCCATTGCATTTGAGAAACAGACCAAAATACCAAAACTTAACAATGACCAATGAACCATGAAAATGAGGTCAAGGTCAGATGGAACCTGCCAGACTGACATGTACACCTTACAATCATTCCATAGACCACATATAATTGACCTATTGCTTATAGTATCCGAGGAAAACGGACCATTTTAGATTTCAATGAACATAATTTATGTGTAACTAGTCAATTATTAAGTCAGGGATTTAATTGGTTACCACAAGTAACACCTTCACCAATTTCTTCCATAGATACAAAGATTTGGTTAGGAAATTTGGCGGTACCTGTTGAATTCTGATTAAAAATGGGATATCACAACCTAATTTTAATGGGGATTTTGTTTATTATTCATAAAGGTTATCAATTTAACACAGTAGTAAAATCTTTAAATATTGTTTTTATCGGTACTAACATTGATTTGTTTAAAAAAAATTAAAACATAACTAGATATATATTGCTATATATGTACAGTTATGAAAACTCATGATCCTACATCCTGTTGATACTGTTTACTTCTAATTGGCATTGCACAAGGTCATGCTTTTCTTAAGACTGTTTATGACATCTTTACACTCAATCTGTTGAATGTGTATAAACGTACTGATTGATACTTTAGTCTGGGAGAACATGATTTTTTCATTAGTTGTAAGTACCTTTGAACTAGTTTTCAGTAACTGTGAGTATTCTTATATCAGTGCTTTGTGTCTATAATCATGATAATAGTTTTTTTTGTGCCTCATATCTATCTTTCCAGTGGAGGCCATTGCTACTGATTTTTATGGTTCTTATGTTATGCTGTTCTGCCACTGTCCAGGTTAGGGGAGGTTTGATTGCTCACAATCATGTTTAACTCTGACACATTTTTTATGTGCTTGTCCCAAATCAGGAGTCTGTAGTGCAGTGGTCTTCGTTGGTTCACGTCTGTCATATTTGTTCTGGTTTTGTTATAAATTAGGTCGTTAAGTTTCTCGTTTGAATTGTTTCAAATTTTTCATGTTGAGGCCTTTTATTCAAACAAATACAGTATGGATATTTTTCATTGTTTAAGGACATATGGTTGCTGATCTCTGGTGGATAGTTGTCTCATTGGCAATCATACCACATTTCTGGTGGATAGTTGTCTCATTGGCAATCAATCATACCACATCTCTGGTGGATATTTGTCTCATTGGCAATCATACCACATCTCTGGTGGACGGTTGTCTCATTGGCAATCATACCACATCTCCTGATTTTTGTACTTATCATGTAACTTTAACTCATCACTGATTCATGAAATGAGGTCAAGATTAAGTAAACCCTGTCTGATTGACATGTAGACCTTGCAAGGAACCCATATACCAAATATAATTATCCTATTACTAGTAGAAAGTGAGAAATTCACATGACAAAAAATCTACATATTTTTTAAGCAATGGCTGAACCATAATTTGAGGTCAAGGATAATGAACATATGATAGACGGAATCTTCGTAGCATCTGTATGCAAGGTATGAAGCCTTAGGTTACATTTTATACAAATAGTTTATACAGTGGCGGGATTGTAATCCTTATATCTTGCATTCTGCAACTTTCATCAGAGGCGAGACAAATAGCTTTCAGGAATCTGATTACAGTAGTTGTCGTCTGTTTATGTAGTTCATACGTGTTTCTCGTTTCGCGTTTTTATATAGATTAGACCGTTGGTTTTTCCGTTTGAATGGTTTTACACTAGTAATTTTTTGGGGCCCTTTATAGCTTGCTGTTTGGTGTGAGCCAATGCTCTGTGTTGAAGGCCGTACCTTGACCTATAATGGTTTACTTTTATAAATTGCAACTTGGGTGGAGAGTTGTCTCATTGGCACTCAAACCACATCTTCCTATATCTATTTAAAAAAGTGTCCCTTTGAAACAAATGAGACAATTGAAACCAAAATTGGCATAAATGAGCTTGTAAAAGACAACAATATGATCTTCATTAATAATGCCTGTTTTCCATCATTTTAATAGGAGTAAGTATTTAATGTTTTTTGTCAAAGTGATTGCTGTACAAACAAACAAATATTATCTGCATGAAACTTAAGAATTATATCGCCATATGATATTGTAATTTTTTAAAGATTATATGTAAACCTAATGTTTAAACAGTACAAAACACTACATCTAGAGAGGATACATATAGGATATACCCCTACCCAAGATCATGAGGTAGTGGGGTCAATCCTTGGCTGGGTCAAACCAAAGACTTGAAAATTTGTTTTTGCTGATTATGATGGCTGCTTAGCATGTAGCTTTTAGTAGTAAGAGTAAAGTGTGGTCAACTATACATAGCTAGAAGTTGGAATAATGTGTCCCTCTAAGATGACATGGCTTCCTGATGAAATATTATATAATTAACTAGCAGGTTAAAAATCAGAATAAGTGTACTATAGGTAAAGCAGGATTCATATTCCTTTCACATTTACATGTTCTCAATCTGATATGCATGTTATATTTACCACTGGACATTAAACATCAATTTAACATCATCATCACATAAAGGACAACAAGATTTACCAAAAATATTCATAAACATATGCATATACATGTATGAATATATATATATAGCTGAAACCATTGGACGACTCCTTTTAGATGTTATTGTTCTTAAATGAAGATTTTTGTTAACTATTTTTTTGTTTGTTGCCCATTGTCTTTCAAACTGTAATAGATCAGTAGAAAGAATAAACATCAATGAACTAGAGGATAGGGATAGAAGCCTGCAGCATGTAAATAAGCAAACTGTGATGCAATCGTAACCTTATTATAGACTGTTGTCAAATACTTTTTTGTACAGTCAAAATGTATGATAAATTCTAAAATTGCCTCTGTAGGTTGTTACATTATTTCAAAGTACCTTCACTAGGTACCATATATATTTTTAAATAGGACAGCCCTATGTTTTGGAATTTTGGTTCCTCAATACTCTTCAACTTTGGACTTTATTTGACCTTTTTAATTTTTTTGATTTGAGCGTCACTGATGAATCTTTTGTAGATGTCACCCGCATCTGACGTACACATTTTTTATCCTGGTATCTATGATGAGTTTATTTGCAATTACCTTTTTGGGATTTTTTTGTTAATGTGATACCTATTCACACAACATTTACTGATTTATTTCATTTACAAATCGTTTTATTTTTTAATTCACAAAGGAGGCTCTTTTAGACTGAACACAAAAAAGAAATATCATAAATTTTATAAAATAAAATTTAATCTAACAATGCAACAGACACAACATTATCTCCCCTGACAAACAGCTGATTAATATGTCTATGTTTGGTTATGTACTCAATTTCTGTTATATAATCTTTCTCTTGTGAACACATGGCAGGTTTTGAATCACTCAAGGTAGCTTTGACTTGAGTGTTATTTTCTGAGATTTGTTGAGTATTATTTGCTTCTGTGGAAGAAATTTCACTAGAACTAGAAGTCTGCTCTTGATGAATTTCGTCTGATGCAATCTCTACATATTTGTCTGAATGTTTTATTGCTGATTGATATTTTTGATTGATTGACATTTTTTCAGTCAGTCTAACAACTCCACTGTCTGTATCTTCACTGTCTGATCTACATTCTGTTAATCTCTCATTCAATGACATGTGACAGTGTTCCTGTGTTAACGTTTCACCACCATCTGACGTCTCTAATTGTTCGACTCTTGATGTTTCACCACCTTCTTTAGTCTCTGATTGTTCCTGTGTTAATATTTCACCACCATCCGCTGTCTCAGAAAGTTCAACTGTTGACGTTTTACCACTGTCTTCCATCTCTGATTGTTCCTGTGTCAAAGTTTCACCACTATCTGCTGTTTCAGATAGTTCTTTAGTAGCAATATCACCTTCTGTTTCTTTTGACTTCTGAAAATAAATACAAATTTAAAGATATTAGGTTGACCTGTATTATATGTCTTTCTGGTTTTAATATGTTGTTGAAGGGGCATTAGCTGTCAAATTCATGTTCACCGATTTGACTCAAATTCTCATATTTGATTTATAACATACTAAAACGTATATTCAAAAAATTTACAAAATGTCTAAAAATAAACAATTAACAATGCATGGACTTGATAATACATATCAGCATTTTGTGTTATTTTAGTCTAGATGCCATCGAATTTACCATACAGATGACCTCCAAAGAATGCCAACTGTCATATAACCCGATATAAACACAAATATAAATAGATAGCGACCACTTGCCAGTGTTCTCCCCACATATTTCATGTAGCATCCTTGTAAACAAAGAATTTTAAAATACCATCTTATTTCCTCGTCAATGAAAAACAAACACTATTAAGTCAGTACGCAGATGATACTTTTCTTACTTTGGATGGTAGTGAGACATCACTACAAGAAAGCCTCAATTGTTTTGATTCTTTTTACATGTTATCTGGATTAAAAATGAACAAATCAAAGACAAGAGCTGTTTGGATTAGTAACAAAAAATATTCTGATCACATATTGTGTCCTAACTACAATCTTTTGTGGTCACACACAAACTTTAGACTTTTTAGGAATAGATTTTTCTCTTGATTTAAAATGTATTCTTGATATTAATTTTAGAAAAAAGATCAAAGAGGTTTCAGCTATACTTAAAAGCTGGCAACATAGAAAATTAACATTACTAGGTAAAATCACTGTAATTAAGACTCTGGCTTTGCCGAGACTGATTTGTTGACTGCCCAGCCGAATTTACCTCACTCACAATTAAATGAACTGAATGCTATGTTTTTTAATTTCATTTGGAATGGTAAGACTGATAGAGTCAAGCATAGTACTCTTATTGCAGATTTTTCACAAGGAGGATTAAATATGATGCATTTGCAGTCTTTCTGTACATATCTTAAATTATCTTGGGTAAAGAGATTTTTATCTAATTCAGATGGTACTTGGCAGAATTTATTACTTGCAGAACTAAAACAGTTAGGTGGTGACAGAGTCTTTACATTACAAAAGGATAAGATTAAAGAAATTTCTAATTGCTTAAAAAATCCATTCTGGAAAGACATATTTGATTGTCTACACATGGCAAAGCCTTATACAATGTTATGTGTTCCAGAAATTTTATCATTGGATATTTTGAACTTTATACCAATATCTGAATACCCTGTTTATGTGAAATGGAAGTTATATGGTATACAATTTATAAAGGACATTGTAGATAGTCAAATAAATCATTGTTAACATTTCAACAAGTAAGACAAAAACTTAATATGGAAACTTTTTTGAAATACTATATAGTTTATTATCTAACATTCCAAAATATATAAAAAAATACATCAAAGATTATTGTGATTTGAACTTAGAAAATTTTGTTCCTTTTGATGCATTTTCTAAAAAGATCTTGGAAAATAAGAAGTTTAAATTTGTGTACAGAGATCTTGTAGATAAAATATGCATACTCCCATATGAGAAATTTTTAAATGGGAGGAAGTAACAAATTCTGAAATATCAGAATGGTCTTAAGTATTTTTCTCTTTTGAAAAGATGTTATTACATAGAATTATACCTACTAATACATTTTTATATAGAATTAAGCAAAAGGAAACAAGTCTATGTACCTTCTGTAATGAGGAAGAGGAAACAATAGAACATTTATTTTATGATTGTAATGTTACCTACAATTTTTGGCTGTCATTTTTACAGAAAATCAAATTATTTGATGAGCAATTCAGCATCAGTAAGAAAGAAATTTTGTTGAGATTTATTACTAAGAGTTTGTTTATAAATTTGTTAATTATTAAAGCTAAAATCTACATCTTCAGATGTAAGTTAAGAAATATAGCTCCAAGTGTAATAGGACTTAAATCCAGAATAAAACAATACCAATCTAATGAATTTTATATTGCAAACAAAAGTAATAGAGCAAATGCTTATGAAAGATTCTGGTCCCCACTACATACTATTTTTTCATGATTTATTATCATTTATACTTTAAATTATACTGTAGTAAGCAGTTGATATTTGATTTTTACTTTATATATAGACATGCATGCATACTAATGGTAAGATAGCAGTGACTGTGTGTTAGTAGTGAGAGAAAGTGTGAGTGTGAGTAGCTATTTTTCAATAACTATATTCTTGTATTATGAATATGAATTTAAAAAACAAATTGGATAGTCTTGTACATATTTTTCAATGTTAACCCCAAAAACCATAGTCAGGTGGTGATTGTAGGGCTATTGTAATATCCTGACTATTGAAAAAAAAATAAAAGATAAAAAAAAAATAAAAAAATAAAATCTTATTTCTAGAAATTATTGCATCACATTCATAACACAATCTATAACTTAATAATTTCAGATACCATGGGGAAAACACTGCTTGCAACTAGATTTTTCTAGGTCTCTTTTATTTCATGTTATAGGTTATAAAAATGTGTTAATCATTATTTTTACCTGTATAAGAATGATTTTTTGTGGATCGAATCAGTAAAAAAAAAAGGTTCACCATTGTTTCACTTTCAATGTTGACATTCTTTTCCTTTTAATAGCTGAACACGCCTAGTACATGTGTAACCCATCTTCAGCTAAGGGAATACGGATTCACACGAGTTCCAATTATTCACTTTCAAGTCATTAATAAATCAGTGATGTGTTTGAGACTATTTTGAAAAATTTGTGCCAAACTAACTGCTTATAATGAAATACTATTTTAAAATTCCACTTTTATTAATACTAGATACAAAATTTTTTTTAATTTTTGTCTAAAATAGCTAATGCCCGTTTGAATTTCTTTCATCTATATATATATTCATATGTTCTTTTATTGATGTGGATTGGTGTTGATATTAGTCCATTAACTTTCAATTGTATGAAAAAAGTATGTTTATTTCATCAAAATATCAAAAAGCTGTACTTGACTCTAAAAGGATAAGAGCATTGATTGTCACATTCAATGTTGTGCAACACTTAGTCTTGGGGTGAGGTATACCAACATGCTAAATATCAAAAGTCTTTGTCAAAAGATAAAAGTTATGGCCCGGATATAATCATATCACTTAAATCATTTGAGGAGAAGTTGTCAAAGGCTAACAAAGTAATAGTTCATACACTATCATGTAATTTAACAAGAGGCTCTCAAGAGCCTGAATCGCTCATCTGTAATTTTTTGCTTAAATCTTTCATCAATGATTATTTTTGCTTTTCAATATATAAATGAGTGGCTTAAAAATGCCATTTAAATGTTCTTTGTATTTGTCATATTTTCTTCTAAAGCAAAAAAAAATCATTTTATCCCTATGTTCCATTTTAGCCATAGTGGTTATTTTTCTTGACATACAAGGAAATAAAAAGCGAAATTTATACAAGTTACTCTAACTCTTTCAGCCCAAGTTTGGCTGAAATTGATTCACCAGTTTCAAAGGAGAAGATTTCTAAAAAGTAAGCCAACTAGAACAAATTGAGAAAAATTGTCTTTAAAGGGCAATAACTCCTTAAGGGGTAAATTGACAATTTTGGTCATATCAAACTTATTTGTAGATCTTACTTTGCTGAACATTTTTGCTGGTTACAGTTTATCTTTATCTATAATAGTATTCAAGATAATAACCGAAAAACTGCAAAATTTCCTTAAAATCATCAATTCAGGGGCAAAAACCTAAAAATCAGATACCCAATTTGGTTGATAATTTCAGGGCAGGTAGACCTTGACCTTATGAATACTTTAACTTCTTGTCTGATTTGCTCTAAATGCTTTAGTTTTTGAGATAATAAGTCAAAAACTGAATTTTACCCCTATGTTCTATTTTTAGCCATGGTGGCCATGTTTTTGACGAAACAGAAAATAAAACACAAACTTTATTCTGGATAACCTAAGAATTATTCAGCTTAAGTTTGGTTTAATTTGGTTCAGGAAATTCTGAGGAGAAGATTTTTTAAAGTTAAAAAAACATAATAAACAAATTGTGTAAAATTGTCTTTAAAGGGCAATAACTCCTTAAGGGGTCAATTGACAATTTTGGTCTTTAACTTATTTTTAGATCTTACTTTGCTGAACATTTTTGCTGTTTACAGTTTATCTTTATCTATAATAATATTCAAGATAATAACCAAAAACTGCAAAATTTCCTTAAAATTACCATTTTAGTGGCTGCAACCCAATAATGGGTTGTTAGATTCATCTGAAAATTTCACAGAACTTGACCTAATGAACATTTTTACCTCCCATGTAAGATTTGCTCTAAATGCTTTAGTTTTTGAGATATAAGCCAACAAGAGTGCACACGCTGAAATGTCTCGCCTTCTTTACTAACCATTGATTTTATGTTGATAGTCCTAAATACAAATCTTTACTACAAGTAACACATAAACTTAACATGATCCAAGAAAATGAGGTCAAGGTCAGATAAACCAAAAGAGAAATACATGTACACCTTACAATCATTCAATAAACCAAACATAGTTGACCTATTGCTTATTGTTTCTAAGAAAAAGTCTTAAACAAGAAAACTTAACATTGACCAATGAACCATGAAAATGAGGTCAAGGTCAGATGAACCATGCCAGACAGACATGTACACCTTACAATCAATTTAGGCATTAAATATAGTTGACCTATTGCTTATAGTATCTAAGAAACAAACTTAACCATGAAAACTTAACATTGACCAATGAACCATGAAAATGAGGTCAAGGTCAGATGATCCCTGCCAGACAGACATATACACCTTACAATCCTTTCATACCTCAAATATAGTTGATCTATTGCTTATAGTTGAAGAAAAACAGACCAAAACACAAAAACTTAACACTGAGAAATGAAACGTGAAAGTGAGGTCAAGGTCAAATAAAACCTGTGAGACTGACATGTACATCATAAAATATTTCCATACACCATTTATAGTTGACCTATTGCATATAGTATTAGAAAAAAAGACCAAAACTCAAAAACTTAACTTTGACCACTGAACAATGAAAATGAGGTCAAGGTCAGAAGACACCTACCAGTTGGACATGTACACCTTACAATCATTCCATATACCAAATATAGTAGACCTACTGCTTATAGTATCTGATATATGGACTTGACCACGAAAACTTAACCTTGTTCACTGATCCATGAAATGAGGTCGAGGTCAAATAAAATTGTCTGACGGGCATGAGGACCTTGCAAGGTATGCACATACTAAATATAGTTATCCTATTACTCATAAAAAGAAAGAAATTAACATTACAAAAAATGTTGACTTTTTTTTCAAGTAGTCACTGAACCATGAAAATGAGGTCAAGGACAATGGATATATGACAGACGGAAATTTCGTAACATAAGGCATCTATATACAAAGTATGAAGCATCCAGGTCTTCTAGCTTCTAAAATATGAAGCTTTTAAGAAGTTAGCTAACGCCGCCACCGCCGGATCACTATCCCTATGTCGAGCTTTCTGCAACAAAAGTCGCAGGCTCGACAAAAACTGCATTTTACCCCTATGTTCTATTCTTAGCCATGGCGGCCATGTTTTTTGACGAAACAGAAAATAAAACTCAAACTTTATTCTAGATACCCTATTAACAGACAGGCTATACATGGATACTAACATGCCTAATATCAAAAGATTAAAAAGTCATGGATGGGACATGAATGTAAGAGAAGAAGAATAACATTAACAATTGATGGATTGATTGATTGGTGCTTAATGCCACTTTCAGCATTATATTGCTATTTCGTGGCAATCAGTTTTTATTGGTGGAGGAAGTTGGAATGCCTTCTGTAGGAAAACTGACAATCCTCGTCAATTAAGATTGGAGTCGAGGGCACCTGCAATGTTTGGGATTGGAACTCACAACCTCTGTGTTGACAAGCTAGTGATACAGTAGTTAAACTATACTTAGACCACTCAGTCACAGAGGCCCCTCATTAACATTGACGAGAACTAAGGGTAAAACCATATGTTTATCTTCATTTGTAGGGGAGACATAATGACTTAATGGTGTCTTGGCTTTAATCCGAACTCAATAATAAACTGTTAAAGCAGTTATAACAACAACTCTTTAGGGATTGCTGCAGTAATTTAATGAGATCTACATGTTTCGGTGCCTAGGGCACCGTCAATACATAAAATTGTGCCTGAAGTACAAAATAGGGTATGCACAAATTATGTCACAATGTAACCATGGTGAGTATAAATAGAGAGTGAAAGTATACATGTATGGAAGTGAACTTGAACAAGAAAGTTGAATAAACTGTGAATGTCATTGAAATTAAAATGTTTATTGATATTATTCTGCCAACAATAAACTATGGACACAGAAATATGTCTCACCTATAGGGAGAAATTCGAAAAAGACAATCTGATGGACAGCAACATTGCTAATTAATTCAAAGTCGCTGGACCATGACATAGAGGGCAGCGCGTCAAATGATAGTCAAACTGAGATGTACTGATAGTAATGCAATTTTATAGAAAATATCATTATTATCATAATTAGTTCCTATCAAACTAACTTAATGATACTCTGCCATAACATAAAGCATTTTGAAAGTCTATGATCTGCTTTAAATAAGGAAGCCCCAAAAATAATTCAGATAACAAAAGCAAATAGGTGCAAATTTGGTAAAAATTCTGAGAAAGTTTCAATAAATTTTGATGAGGTGTTAAGAAGAAGAAGCAGGATAAAAGTGAACTGTAGTGGACTGATATGACAAAGACCATGTCATGACAAAAAAACAACCACAAAGTAAGAGGTGCAGAAACATATCACGGGAGTAAGATTCTGTGAAAGTTTCACAAAATTCTGTCAAGCAGTGCAGGAGCAGCTGCAAGTTGGAAAGATGAAAACAGATTCCCCTATCACTATATATATATATACCACCCACTTCAGAGAACAGTGGGTACAATAATATTCTCTTGCTGATTAGATTCCTGAAATCAGAAGTTAGGGAGTGCATTTATAATTGCAATTTTTGAAGACAGAAATATATGAACAAAAGTGTTCCATTAATTATTGCAATTTTAGGAAACACTTCATTCAGACATTTGTATTCACTATTGAAGACCAGAATGCGAGTTCTTATTATCATGATTTTTGCGATACTCTCTCAGTCACATTATTCGCATTAATAAAAACCTCGCAATTATTTCTAAATTTACAGTAGTTCTTTGTATTTCATTAGATTTGTCTTGTGCAAATCCACTTTAAGATGTGCCTTTAATAAAAAGTACTTTGTTTTCCATTGTAAAAATATTTACCGTCTCCTGAAGAGGTTTTTTGATGATTTAAGGAATATTCTCTTGTTTCTCATTGTAAGAGGAGATTAAAGGAATACTTACTGTCTCCAGAAGAGGTTTTCTGATCACTTTAGGAATACGATATGTTTCATCAACATCCATCAATGCCTGCAAATATTAATAACTTATGTAAACTGGTTGAAAATATTTTATTTTTGTCAATTGTTAAAATAGATAAAATATCATAAGGGTGGGGGGGGGGTCTCGATGGGGTTTTCAGAATAGTGAATAATGCATAAAAAGTGCAGAATAAAGGGCAAAATATATAACATATAGAGTAAAATAGGCCAAAAAATTAAAGAATAGAGAATAATTGGTGCTAAATTTCATAAGACAAAGAATAAGGATCAAAATAAAGAATAGAGAAAAATTGTCTAAAAGGTAAAGAATAAAAAATTGAAAGATGCCCCCTCCCTTGGATTCAATGTTGAAAAAAATATATTATCTTACAATGTATCTTAATTTTCAAAGTCTGAATTAGTAGCAATTGGCATTTTAAAATTACACAGGTATTTCTTGTCTTATTAAATTCTAAAAACAAACAAATACCCATGTTGCGAACTCTATAAGATAAATCCTGTACAGAAGTTTCCCTGTATTTCAAAACAATTTGTCCTACCAGGTTAAAATGTTTTTTAAAAGCTATGAGATATCTTTTACAAAAGTTTCACCCTATTTCAGCACAGTTTGTTCTTACCAGGTTAAAATGTTTTTCAAAATCTATCAGATATCTTACACAAAAGTTTCACCCTTTTTCAACAGTTTTTTTCTTACCAGGTTAAAAATGTTTATCAAAGGCATTTGAGATATATCTTATACAAAAGTTTCACCCTTTTTCAGCACAGTTTGTTCTTACCAGGTTAAAATGTTTATCAAAAGCTATCAGATAAGCTTTACAGTAGCCCCTCCATGTGACAGCACTTCTGGTCCAAACTTTAATTCTGTGTTGTTTTTCCACAGCTTTCTTTAGTATTGTTAATGGGCCTTCATCAATTTCTGTAAAACAATTTAATAACAAAATCACAGCATGTTATTATTTACAGTGCTCATTTAAAAGGGGTTTGGTCTTTCACAATTCAAATTGACCAAAATGTTTTTTCCAAGTTGTAGTTTGAGAAAAAAATCATCTCTTCAACTGATCAACTTTTGTAACCAACTACATGTACTAGTAATAAAGGTTCAGTATACGTACGATGGAAGATGACTTTCTTTTTTTTTTTAAATTGAAGGAAAGATTGTTTACCTACTTATCAGAATACAAGTTAAAAAAGTATAATTTTGATACATCTTTTGTACCTGTATGAAAACTTCCATCAAAATGAAAAAGATTATAAGTAATTACATGTACAACATGTACATGTATGTAGATCTACATGTAAACATTGTTCTATTTAACAATACACATGATACATTTATGCCTTGTTTTCTAACAATAGAAGTATAACATGTATGTACTTGTAATTTGAATATTTTTTCTATGTAATACTGATATCAAAGGGAGATAATGTTACAGCAAATCACTGACAGGTGCATGAGATGATTAAATGTCAAGCACAACTTTCGTATCATGTTTTCATTTTTCTACGCAATTTTTACTCATCTTACATATAAATTTCTTCTTGGGTTTAAGAACACATACTGACAATAGTTTAATAACCAATGGAACAATGTTTTTAACAAACTCTTTATATTGTCATTAAGATTGAACTTTTCATATATATATATATATAAATCTCATTCATACCAATTTAAATTGGTGTTCTTATAAGTTGGTGTTCAATCATTCCTTCAATTTCTAAGATGGAATAAGTCAATCACTGGAAATTGGATAGTAAGAATAATTTTTATTATACTGCACTTGCTTCATTTACTAAATGTTAATAATTTTTTCGCAGCAAATGACTAAAATTTAGCAATAGTTGATCTGACAGTTTGAAGAAATAAATTTAAATTGCAACTTGTAAAACATTTTGGCCAGTGGGTATTGATTTTTTCATTCCAAAAATGTTGTTATAAATTTGTGGTCCCTGCATGATGACTGAGACTTCTATAACACAGAGATTGGTCACTTCCCGTACTGACCAGTCAAATTGTAATTAAACGGTGCCTACGATCAGGTGACTTGGCACGTGACGCGAAATTATTGACAAGAAGGCATCGATCTGCCATTGTTGATTATGGAAGAGAAAATAATAACTAATTTTATAACCGATGTGGCAGATTGAAGAGTGCTATATTTCGGAAAGTAGGAAAATAGGATTTGAAATGTTAATAAATGTTTGTTTTAAACACTTTAAATAAAATTAGTGTATTTATAGGCTTAAAATTTACTCATTAAACCTGAAAATAACAGTGAGTTAGTACTTGTAGTCTGTAAGACTTGGTCAATTTGTATTGCTAATGGGTTAAATTCAGATGACCAATTTGTTTTTCATATAACATTACTGCATTCTTTAGTATATATGCTATGCAGCGATGTAAAAATTTTATTTATATGAAATACCAATGTGTCTAGATTAGAGTTCCCCTGAAGTAGATGTACACCAGTCAAGGTGCATATTTAACAGACCATCAGGTCTTACAGGTCAGTTTGTATTGTTAATGGAAAAAAATTCAGACCAATATTTGGTTTCCTGGATATATTTATGCAGTCAAAAATGATAATCTTCTACACTGATGTAAAATTTGTAATCATATGAAATACCAATTTGTCTACATTATAGTTTCTAATCCGCAGTATTGTAACCTATAATTGCTTATATAAAAACGACATTTTAGTCTTAGGTAGAGAGTTGTCTCATAAGCAGTCATACCACATCAACATTCACTACAAACCAGTAAAAGTCTGAAATGGCCTATATCTGTACTCGACTGTACTGATTTTTACTCGACCAGTCTGAATTGGTCTGAATTTTACTCGACAGTACTCGACCCCAGTCTTAACCATACTCGACTGTACTGATTTGTACTTGGCCCTTATCTTTGCCATTGAAAATAGTCTGAACTATTACTCGACCAGTCTGAAACAGTCTTAACCCATTCTCGACCTGTACTCGAACTTTTTTTTTCAGTCTAAACCATACTCGACCAAAGGTCTGAACAATACTCGACCAGTCTGAACCATACTGGACCAAACTGTTAAAATAAATTTCTTTTTAACTGACATGACAACAGACACGATAAAATAAAGATATATTATAAAAACAGATTTTTACATTCTTACATGATTCTCAGATTTATGGAATAGAGATAGTTAAATCAAATTATCTTATATAATAATTTAATTATATTCATTTTAAAATTTTAGAGTTTTGTTAAAAAAAGATTTTCTTTTACCTAAAAACCACACCTATACTGAGGGTAATTAAACCTTATTAAGGTGTTTCTTGTTTGGCATGTGTTTTTTTTAAATTAATTTTCCTTAATTCCTAAATAAAAACTACATAGGTTTCATGGTTACGGTACGTCTAAACACTGCTAAGGAGTCCTTAGTGCACTAAGGACGTATACTATGCCACTAAGGACTAGATGGGGTGCTGGTACATGCATTATTTTTCCATATTAAGTTAGAGATTGATATTTAATGCATAAATTAAAAAAATTATAGAAAAATAATCATAAATAAACGAGTTATTAAGCATTGTTTAAGCACGTGCCCATTTTTCTTTGATATGCCGAAAATCAGTGAACCGATTGACACGTGCCATATAACATAACAACTGAATAAACAATCATAATCTTTTTATTTTAAGTAATTAACAATTGTATCGAAAAGATTAATGTTTAATAATTTATAATGAAATATGTTGTTCTTATTTGCAATGATTAAAAGGACAAATAATTTTATTTATTTTTTATTTCTTTCTCGACAAAGTTATTTGCCATTTGTGCACGACTTTGATGTGCGCCAACTAATAAGTTAAGAGTGTGGTCAGCTTGTTAAATGTTTATGTAAGAGCATGGAAGTAATATTTAGAGATACCAAGACAAAAGGAATAGATATATTTATAAGTTTTTTGTTTTAATTTTAATTCTGACAAAGATGCGTGTTTCGTTAAAATTTATGAGTAAATTCTGTAAAAAATATCAAAACCGGGGGTTTGCTTTTCCACTTTCTATTACTGCTTCATACTTAGTACGAATTACGATTGAATTGAAAAAAAAATCATGTGACGTCCTTGGGGTTATTCTAAACCACTAGTTTTCAACCAGTTTGATAGCTGTTTACAAAGGCTTCATACCGTACTTATTTTTTCTTTTTGTAATTGTTCGACATTTGTTTTTTTCTCAAAGTATAAGAAGTTTAAATATCATTATCGAACTTTGAAGTTTCATTTTTAAATATATAAAGGAGACAAATGTTTTTTTTTAAATGTTCCACAATTTTTAGCACATTATTTCCGAAAATTATCCCGGCCCGTATGTGTTAATTTTAGAGCTTTAGATATAATTTTGACATAAAAAGGTTATGCATCGTACGAATGCCTTGAAAATATGCTTTTTCATGATGTGAAAATATGCTTTTTCATGATGTGAAAATAATCATTTTTTGTAATACAAGATAATTTGAATACTTTATACCTAAATCTCTCACGTGTAAAAATGAAAAAAAAAAATAAGGATTTGTATAGTATATTACTATATAAATCCTTGAAAAAACAAACAGAAATATTTTCAAATATATTTTCTTTTAATCTATTTTTCTTTAAGAAGAACAAGTATGTCAGAAGGAAATCCGATTTGTATTTTTTTAACCAAATTGTCTGTTTAAGATATTGTATGAAATAATGACTATGTTGTATATGCTTTACTCATTGTTGAAGGCCGTACGGTGACTTATAGTTATTAATTTCTGTGTCATTTTGTCTCTTGTGAAGAGTTGTCTCATCGCCAATCATACCACATCTTCTTTCTTATATTGGTTGCATGTAGCAAAAATTTATTATCATATTGAATTCGTTTTTGTCCAGTAATAAATTGCTTAACGTCTTCATATATGAATATAAATTTAGATATATTGCTTTGGAAACAAATCTATTATTTACAAGAAATAATTACAAAATACTCTTGAGAAACTGAAAAAAAAAACATGAATAAAATTTTAACAACTTATTCAGTGCGAAGTCAAATCAAAATTGATCACTGAAATATAATCTGAAAAACTATTCATTTATTAGTATCCAACTTTTCCAATATTGTCGATTAAACACAACAGATAGCAGGATTCCCGTGTAATCAGTTATGTAATTTGACACGTGTCTAACGGTTCATTGATTTTCGGCATATCAAAGAAAAACAGGCACGTGTCTAAACAATGTTGAATAACTCATTTATTTGTGATTATTTTTCTATAAAATTTGAATTTTATGCATTAAATATCAATATCTACAATAATATGAAAAGACACTACATGTAATAGCACCCCATCTAGTCCTTAGTGGCATATCATAAGTCCTTAGTGCACTAAGGACTCCTTAGCAGTGTTTAGACGCACCCTCATGGTTACATATAAAAAATGTACAATAGTTATATAATTATCTTTTTAATGAGGTAACAACAGCCAACAAAATCACTGAAATTGTTTAACCTTATTTTAGAAATACATCTATTATTATAATTTGGGATATATTATATACAATATATATCAAAAAGGGATAAAAATTAAAGAAATTAATAAAATTTTTCTTCTGATTAGTGGTGAAGTATAAAGTAATACCTCCTGCTTGGGGCAAACTCATTAAAAAGATCACAACCTGGTCAGAGAGTATTAAATTCTAATTAACATGATTAACATTCATTCAAATTTGCAACATCCTGTGAAACTTAAATCGCAAGGCCTTTTTTTAATTCACTAGATAAGTAATACACGCGTTTAAGAAAAATAGGGCTTTCTTTTTACCTGTAAAACACACATGTACTGAGGCAATTAAACCTTATCAAAGTGCTTCTTGTATGCCATGTCTTTAATTTTGACAAAAATTATATAAATTTAATTG